CTCCCGCAAAGATACCGCCGGGCGCTACCAAGCCTGAGCAGTCTTCTTTCGCGATATCGATCACTCTGCTCACCCCAGGTCTTCACGTGCCCTACTCGACGCCCAAGCCAACTGACGATGACCCCAACCCGAAAGCGAAGATTGTCGGGGGCCTCCCAGGTCAAACCGGAGAGCGGGGCAAGTACGGTCCCACGATAGCCCCGTACAAGCCCTTGACCACCTCGCCGAACGAGACAATCGCTGCATACATATACTTTGACGGCCGGGCAAAGGAGGAAGTAGCGACCCTGCTGCGACGCGGCGAAGAGACGTGGGTCAACTCACGGTGGGTCAGCGTGCCAGAGTCAGAAGGCGGGGGTCTCGCAGAGCGCGAGTTCCTCTTCCGCGAGGTCGGTCTCGAGAGATGGCTCAACGGTCTGGATCTCGAGGGCAAGGACAAGGACGTGGCCGCCAAGATTGAGCGGAGAAAGCAGCGCCTGGAAAAGAAGCGGGCAAAGCGGAGAGAGGCCATGGACAGCAGCGACGAGGACAAGAAAACCTCCGGCAACGGTGTACTGCGCTACAGCGAAAGCAAGGACGCGCCTGTCGAGACGCTTTCCGGCAACGACGAGTTCTTCACCACCGACTCCGATTCGGACGACGAGCCCCCCATGCCCGAGGCAGCCGGACAAATCAAGGTCGCCCTGTTCCGCGTCCTGGCGTCTGGAGAGATCAAGCGCGGCGAATACTCACCCCAGTTCGACGCACACGATGACGACGAGCAAAATGGAGGTGGAGAGGGCGAGGACGTTGACCACACAACGAGTTTCGCAAAGCCTAAGACGCTGGACCCCAAGTCTATCAGCACTCAGACTGTGACTGGCATAGATCCCCCGGACAAGCCCTACGCCGTCTTTACCTTTTTGTACCGCGGAGAGCGTAAGTTTACAGCAAGGGATACAAGATTTTCGCTAACCAATGGCAGGTCAACTGCGGAAGATGGGTATTCTGAACACCAAGGAGACGCCCAAGATCACCTCGCCACAGACCAAGCGGAAATCCGGCGCACTCGACTTTGGCAGTCTGAAGCCTCTGAATGCGGCCGCTGGCACAAAGAACTTTGGAGGTTACCGAGAGACATCGCCTAAGTCCAAGAAGAAGACGGAAGACGCCATGGACAGCGACGCCGACGACGAGGACGATGTCAAGGTGGAGGATGCGGACGACGACAAGGAAGTTCTTGACAAGGGCTTGCTGTCGCCTGAGGATGCTCACAGGCAAGGCGAACTTGCAGAGGGTGTGCGCAAGATCAAGGTATGTGTATTGTTGTCGCTCGAAATTCGTCTACTAACACATCACAGCTGAAGCGTCAACATTCCGCAGAACCTCTCGGCCGCCCCGCAGGACCCTCCCACTCCGACTCCACAGGATCTCCTCTTTCCGGTACGCCAGCGCCAGAAAACGCGTCGACAGGAGAGGCATCATCCTCAGCCGCCGCAAACACCTCAGGAGAGCCCAGCACAAACTCGATCGCTTCACCCTACAAGAAGCAACGCGCTTCATTACCCGGCTTCGACGACAACGTGCGCAAGAGCCTGGGCCAAGCCCTCATGGACGCCCACAACCAAGGCCGAGCCAACTCTGACGGAAACATCCCCACCATCGAAACCAAGATGGAAGAGGACGAGGAGTTGTGACACAAGAACATCCGTTTCCAACGCGCATTCGAATGAGGCAGTTTCTCATCGTGTAGCAAATCACACATTTTGTTTGCATTATAACGGTCAACGACGAGTCGAATTCCAATACCACGATGTCACCCAAAACCCTTAATACCACGCGGACACCACAATCGGGCATAAACCTTTTCAGGCGCAAAAATTGGCAAACGGAGTCCTGCGAAAACTCAAGGGTTTGGAGGGGGCTTTGGATAACAACTTGGCTCAGTGCCTGTTTTGGCTCTGGTTGGTTTGGTGGATTCTGTACATGATCATGTTTCGTATGTTTCTTTTTGCGGTGGGGCTTCGGCACGAATGGCAAGATGGGTCGGTGGTATGGATGTGGATGGGGTATGACGGTTTGGTGGAAAAGATGCGGACTTTAGTGTCTTTCGTCTCTGGCGAGTTGGTGGTTGGAGCTTGGATTGTCGACTGACATGGAATGAACTGCAATGAGACGTACGATACAATAGATGGTATTTGCTGATGTGATGGGTGTGTGGATGCAGAGTGAGGAAAAGTGATGTTTGGGTGATGTAAAGGATTGATGGACTTGTAATCGGCTGTTGGATATCTAAATTTACCAAGCAGCGCCATTCAAATTACGTCGGGCTCCGCGATCGACCCTTCTTCTGCCCTGGCGATCCATGTTCAGGGACCTCCTCCTTTATATAGACATATCGCACGGGCGATAGTTCACGCCGTTCAGATACCTGTCGTGGCCACGCACACAGATCCAGCAAGGAGCCCACAAGTGGCACCAACCTATTCTCACTGATTACCTCTCCCCCTTCTCCAATCTCCTCGCCCTTCTCCTTCATCTTCAAACCGTAGCCTTGGCCGCCATGCAGATTTGCATCTCTCTGTAGGAGTACACTGGACCAGCCTGCGTCTTGCGCGCCGAACACGTCTTTCTGAAGGTCGTCACCTACGTAGATCTTCTCAAACTCCTCTGCTCTGATGTCTTCGTCACTGGCTGTGGAAGCGGCCTTTAGCTTCTGGTCGAGTATCTCCTCCGCCGCAGCAAAGATCCGTCGATCAGGTTTTTCGACTCCGACGTCGTAAGACAGAACCGTGAAATCGATGTCATACTCTCTATCCTTGGGGCCGGAGGCTCTTATAACAGGGTAATGCCAGGGACCCATATTGACACCGAGGGACGACAATATCCTCGGGACGCGGTCATCTGAATTCGTTATGACGCCTACTATAGTTTTGCCCCAGGGCCAGAGTCCATGAGAAGCGCCCTGACGTCTCCGGTGTGATTTCATATGCTGTATCATGCGGAAGAAGGGGAGGACGTCGGGGTACAGTGTATACCCCTTCCGGGACGAGTAGGTGTGAAGGAGCTCTGGGACGAGGTGCTTGGGGAAGGTTTGGTTTGGAGCGAGGAAAGGTGTGAATGTTTCCTTTATTACTTTGGCCCACCATTTTTCTGCACCCATGCCTGTAGCCCGGCCATAGTTTGGGTGCTCTGATGATAGGCGCTTGAATGCGGATTTGAAGGATGAGGATACTTGGGTGGCGGGTTCGGGCGTGTCTATGGCGATGCCGTGCTTGAGGGCGGCTTCGGTGTAAGTTATTGGGATGGGTTTCGTGGGTGTGAAGAGGGTGCCGAAGGCGTCGAGACAGAGGAAGAGGTTTTTCTTCTGGGGTATGGTTGACATGGTGAGAGGGTATCCGGCGTATCGACCGGCGTTACCCTACAAATCCAATAGCACCGATCCAATATCCTGCTAATTGGCGCGGAAACGTCGATTTCATATCACATCGACGTGTAAGGCCACCCAGACTCGGCCTATGTGGTTGCGGAAGGAGATGGACCAAAGAGGCTAGTCCAGGGTCCGCCGACAGCCCCGAGCTACTTGCGGACACGATCACCTCCGCGAATCCTCAACTCCCCCAACGTCAACCCTCACCTGCAGTCGCTCATTCACCCAATTCCGCAGACACACACAACTCACACACGCAATTGCAAATATGGCGAACACCAACAAGTACTCGGTGCTCCTTCCCACCTACAACGAGCGCCGCAACCTGCCCATAATAACATGGCTGCTGGCCAAGACGTTCGAGGAGAAGTACGTCGCAACACCCACCCCCTCATAACGCAATGCCACGACTAACAATTGTTCAACAGCAAACTCGACTGGGAACTCATCATCATCGACGACGGCTCCCCCGACGGCACCCAAGAAATCGCCGCCCAGCTCCAAAAAGCCTACACCCCATCCCGCATCCAAATCCGCGCGCGCGCCGGTAAACTCGGTCTCGGCACCGCCTACGTCCACGGCCTGCAATTCGCCACGGGCAACTTCGTCATCATCATGGACGCCGACTTTTCGCACCACCCCAAGTTCATCGCGCCCATGATCGCTTTGCAAAAGACCAAGAACTACGATATCGTTACTGGGACGCGGTATGCGGGCGACGGCGGCGTGTTTGGCTGGGATCTCAAGCGCAAGTTTGTGTCGAGGGGGGCGAATCTCTTTGCGGATACGGTGCTCAGGCCGGGTGTGAGTGATCTTACGGGTAGCTTTAGGTTGTATAAGAAGGAGGTGTTGCAGAAGGTTATTAGGCAGACGGAGAGTAAGGGGTATACGTTTCAGATGGAGATGATGGTCAGGGCCAAGGCGATGGGGTGCACCGTTGCCGAGGTGCCTATCTCTTTCGTTGACAGGTTGTATGGCGAGAGCAAGCTTGGTGGTGACGAGATCGTTGAGTATGCGAAGGGTGTGCTGGCGCTGTGGATGAAGGTTTAGACGGGACGTGTGGGGTGTTGGTGGCCGGCAAGGATGGCTGGCCGTAACGATATCTTGGGCAGGTAAGGAGATGGTACATTTGATCTTTCTCCGCCTTGTCTGATTAGTATGTTTAACTCTTAATCTTCTCACCAGCGTCTTCGCGCACGTGTTGCTTCCAGTCGCGACTGCCACTACCTATTTCGTACGCCAAGCGGCGCTAGCGTCCGTTGCTCTTGCCTGAGCTGCCTTCACTTTCGTCCTCGTCCTCACTTCGACCTTAACAGTCTCTCGATCGCTGCATCGCTCGAGATTGCGCACCTCACACGAAAGCGCAACAATCTCTCACTACAGCTCTGAAGCACACTATCACCTTGTGCAAGGAAAACACCAAACGGGTTTGCAGCCTACATTGAGCTGAAGTGTGCAAAGTACGAGAACTAACATTAACGCAGGCTCTACGGTGTTCGGCGTCTGACCCGTGTAAAGTGTTATCACGATGTCGACGCAGGATGACTCCAAGCCCTTTCGCTTCATGGACCTCCCGTCGGAGTTGCGCCTTATGGTTTACAAGCGCCTACCCCGTCAGATCAAGCACACTGAGGTTCGCTATATGGGCTATTCGTGGCCCGACACGAAAGTGAAACTCGATTCCACATTCGTCTTGATCACACGTCACCTCCCAGTCGCTATCCTAAGGACAAGCCGCCAGGTCTATGCCGAGGCGCACAGTATCGTCACAGCTCTGATCAAAAGCTTTGTGACAGAGTCGGAGCCGCGGGCCATAGGCCGTGAGGACAATGGGAATGCGTTTCTTGTACTCGCCACATTGATAGCGACTGAGCGTAAAGCGCTTTTGGTGAGTCGAATCTCACATTAACATTCTTCAAAGCTCGAATCTGACGCAACCGTAGACTGGTCAGCCTTACCATGTGAGCGACGTCATTCAGCGACACCCGTACCTTGCCTCTCATCCATGGGAAACCAGACGACCGCGCGACATTGCAATCTTTTTCGGTCAAACTGCACTGGCGAAAACGTCAGACACCGGGATCTGGGTCGCCAAAATCGCTACTGTATACTTCCAGAAGCAGGAGAACGTGATGGACAGGCTGCGTGCGCGGCATTCCTTGATCATCGCCCCTGGCCCCCAAAGAACTCCTCCGAGCGTATTAGAGTTTTTTCGACGGGAATATGAGTCTGGTCTCGGCGTTCTCGTTCATACAAGCTTCAAGGGTATCCTCGCATACGCTCCCAACGAAGAGTACAAAGTCACAGCAAAGAACGTCCCTGTCAAACTCAACGTAGACAAGTTCAATTCGGATGGGACCTGGACCCTGGAGACTAGTATGAGCCAGGATGATTGGATTGGCAATTGGGTGCCTTCTTCGTGAGGAGTACCCATATGTCATCCAAGGAGGGCATCGTACGCCCGCCCTTAGAGGATGATGGAAGTAAAAAACCCAGGAGTCTACATTGCGTTGAAAGTTCGTCATCTTTTGTGTGCGAAACCACGTAGACTGCAGGGTGTCTAGCTCTTTTCTTTGATAGGGTGCTCACATCCTAGTCGAAGTACCGTCCAAAAGGGCCGATCAATACTGTTAACCGAATCCTGCTCTCACGTATCTCGCAATCGTTACATGAATGTGGTAATTGTCACGTGATCATCTCGTCGTTCACGTCCCCTCGACGGGCATTAGTATCCACCTTCGCAACTTGGGCTGACTAGCTGCATCTCGCTATACAACTGCTTCTGGCCATCCGACGTGAATTGTCCGTCTGTTCATCCATATCTCGCCAGCCCTCTTACAAACTATCCGGCATCGTGGGTTCCGGCTTACCCGTGGTCTTTGTGACGGCACGGTAATGATTTGTGAACACTCCGATAGGGTGTCTCTTATCGCCATACCTATCCAGGCCTTATCACTCTTCCATTGACACCGACATATATAATCTTGATGCTAATTCACAATTGTTTTCATCCATCCTAAGGCACTGAAGCTTGCAGCCACTGGCGTAGTGAGTACAGTCAGTACCTTGATCTCTTCCAATATCAGTCATTGCATTCGATCACTTGTTTCCAAGAAGAGCTCAAACATCATCTCAGCCACCGACATGTCGATCTACCAACACAATCCTTTCCCTATCATGAATCTTCCCGTCGAACTACGCCTAATGATCTACGAGCGGCTGCCACGCCAGATCAAACACACCGTGGTCTCCATAGACGGAGAAGTGGCTGTCCTGGTCACAAAACATCTGCCGACTGCCTTACTACGTACGAGCAAGCAAATCTACCTCGAAGCCCACGCCATCGTAAACAAGCTAGTCCGACATTTCGTCGAAGAGTCACCAACAAAGCTCATCGAGCTGGGCAAAGCTGGAACAAAGATGAGACAGAGGAAGGTACTCGACTTTCTCATGTCACAAATCCCGCGCGAACGCATAGCCGTCGAAGACGACGAGAAGTCCGACATCCAAGCCATTTCCCAGAGACTACCCAAGTCCAGTGGACTTCGACCCACCGATCCCGCCAAGGCATCCAACATCGCTCGCTTCTTACATCAAGCTGCTAGAGCTAGATACCGTCCCGGTGACGACCGTTTCCACGACGCAGCCGGCGGGCTGTGGAACAACACTGTCGTAACCGTGTTCGTCACCCGCACACTTTACAAGAACGAAGAAGAGTTCCAATGTTTCGCCGAGATTAATCACAGACACATTCGACATATGTACCATCATGGGGAGATGCCGCACTTTCCGCACGATATATGGATCCGAGATGGTGGTAGCATACAGGTCGAAGGAGATGTTTCTCTGGAGAGGGTGATTGATAGTGTTCCGATGTTATGTCAGGATGGCTATGACGATTGGGGTAATGACACGGATGTGGGAGATTCGTGGGGGCCAGCGATGAGAAGGGAGGAGTGGGATGGGGAATGGCTTCCTTCGTAGGCACGTCGTGACAGGGGGATAGATGTTTGCACTGCCGTTTGCATGCAGTTTTTGATGACTACGTCCCTCCATATCATAAGTCAAACATCCTTAATAACCCAACATAAACACCCTGTTCCGACCAAATTGCATTCTCAAAGACCATGTTCCAGCCTCGCTTCCAATTCCACTTTTCCGTCCCGTCCCAAACGCCCCAGATCCACCACGCATCTAACCCTCCCTCACACTAACACCCTTCTTCATAACCAACAACTTCGTCTTCGTCGGCTCCGCAAACTTCTCCTCCTCCTCCAGCACCGGAATCGCCGCATCGCTATGCATAAACGCAATAAACTGCTGCAAATGCAATTCATCCTCAAACGCCATCGTACCCATGCAATCCCAGTCCATCCCGTCATCAACCCCAATTAACACCCGCGGAATCCCGATCGGGCATTCCTCGTCGTCAACATGGTAGTGCCGCGTCCACGACAACGGGTGCACTTTCCCCGCGATGTTTTTGAGAAGCGGTGCGTATTTTTCCTCGTTGTGCTGGTGGAATTCTGCGCGTGAAACGCCTTCTTTGCGGGTTGCGACTGTGGTGAGGATGTAGGGGTAAGCACTCGTTTTCGTCATTGTAGTTCCCGGCATTTTGGTTCTGTGGATTCTCCGGTTGTTCAGGGTATGCGATGGGGGCGGGCTGGGGCGGAGCTATGTCGGCGGTGTAGAGATATGCGGCCGATGATTGGCATGTAATAGTGTTCAGTAATCGCAGGATCGCGAAGGTTTGTGAAGGATTCGCAGGAAGAAGCAAAACAAAGAGCGCCTCTCGGGATTTGGGGATATTAATGACGACGGGAAGAACGAAACGCCAAACCGAAATTTCAGGGCCGGGAAAACAGGAGAACGGATGGCTTCCGTATGCAGGCTGGGCCCGTCAGACCGTAGTGTGCCGGTGTCAGCTAATGGGCAGTTTGCACCCCTGTATTTTATTGGTCCCCACTTCCCGCTCGGTTACCACGAGGGCCGATCGCTGGAGACAAGTGCGCTAGCTGGGTCTGGACTACTGACGAAGCTTGCGAAGCGAAGTTGTCGAGCCTTTCCTTTAACTTATCAACCTGCTGCCTTTTTTGGTGATGCCGCCGATTCAGTTGCGACATGTTAATGCCGTTGTGGTGTTTGGACTTGCGCCTGTTATCTCGTTTGTACTGGGATGGCCTGTGAGCGTCATCGGGTATGACGTTAGGCCTCCAGACACCGCTAGTTTCATCTGCCGATGGCTGCTTTGGGGGTTGGACGTCGTTTGTCGGAGCTTGGTGTGTTGATCAGACGGAAGGACGCGGAAGTGGTGAGATGTACTTCCTTAGGTCCGCGGAGTCTTTCGGTATGTTGTGTTGATCGTCGCTGCCATGGTTGACAAAGTTGTGCAACAGCTGTCATCTAGTACTAAAGCGTCACAGCGCCGTGAGCGAACTCCTCTCTGGAAGTCAAACTATTGCATCGCGCGTTGTCCGTCAGCTCTTGGCCCGCTGTAGCGTCCACGTAGGTACTCGTTCTGTTTCCTTGCGCTTAAGCATCGGCGCGGACCGTCACTACTTCACCCCGCATGTGCGTGGTCAAGTTCGTGGCCGTCATGACTCCACCGAGGCTTCACATCTATATCGATGTTTGGAAAGTCTTTGGGAAAGTGTCTCATTCAAGCGCATTGATTCTAACATAACTAAAGCAAACGTTAAGGCCAATCCCCTGACCCATATTCTACTTGCGAGTTCTGATCTCGAGAGCCCTCCTCTCGCCCGTGAGAGTGTTTTCTCCCAGTCCCCTACTGAGATCCCACCTTTTATCGTCCCAAAGATACCGGAAGACCCCCAGTGTATGTGTCTTGATGACAGTCATAAACTCTTCAATGAGCACAGCTTCACCATCTGCACCCATCCCGCTTGGAGAAGGCCCAAACACGAACGCCGGTACACCGCGATAGCGATAAAACTTACAATCCGTACCACCCAGGCCGACGATCTGTACCGGCTCCCTCCCAGTAACGTCTCGCGCCACATCAGCCATGTACCCAGAAAGCGGGTGATTGTACTCCGATAAGCTCGCTGGGTTGCTGGCTGCTTCTTGCACGGAGTATGATACGCCAGGGGACGATAGCAGTAGGCTGTCAATCTCATTGAGTACAGCTTCAGCCTGGAGCCCGATCGGCAGGCGGATGTCGGCTTCAAAGACGCACTTTGAAGGGATGACGTTGACTTTGACGCCGCCGTTGATGGTACCGATGTTCAAAGTGGGTGAGAACATATTCGCTGCTGCCCCAGCGCCCATGATCTCATCGGTGACGGCGTGCGCTTGTTTGGAGCGAAGATACGCCCTGAGTTGGTACGGGATCTTTACGGGTATCGACTCGACCACGCGCTTCAGGGTCGTTATCAAGGAGCAAGCGTGTACGATGGCTCCGCAGCCATTGTGTGTGTACGCTCCGTTACCTCCTTGAGTGTTGACTGTGAAGGTCAATCGCAGAGTTCCTACCATTCAAGGTTAGTATAGGTCTTCAAAGCTGTTCATGGGTAGATGTTACTTACCCTTCTCGCCGAACCGGATCGACTGTAGACCACCAGGCTCCCCGTTGACAACACAATCGCCTAGCCAAGGTGAATTGTCACCACAGTGATCGAGCAAATACTTGGTCCCCCATTCGCCTCCCGTCTCTTCGTCCGAGACCACGGTCAACGCGACGCTGCCGATGAGATGCGAAGCTCGCTTCTTCAGCAACGTGAACGCGATGATGGAAGCCGCAGTGCCTGCTTTCATGTCGACAGACCCGAGACCATGTATCGAAGTGCCATCGTTATGGCCAGAATATGGCGGGTAACGCCAACCCTCAAGGTTATTGACCGGGAAAGTGTCCATGTGGCCGTTGAAGACAACGCGAGGACCGTCCTGCAAGCGGCCTTCGAAATCCGAAACCACGTTGGGCATATGAGCCATCGGGGCAACGATATCTGCATAGATGTTGTTGGCTGAAAGGAATTTCGTGACGACATCTGCGGCGGCTCGGGTGTCGCCTGGTGGATTGGGGCTTGCTGCTCGGACAAGCCTTTGCAGAAAGTGTATGTACTTATCCTTGTTTGCTTCGATTTCGCATAGTATGAGGCTCTCGTGGTATTGTCTAGCTGGTGCCATCTTTGACTAGAGAAGAAGAAGGTTCGCTATTTGAAGGTAGATAAAGATGATGTTGAGCTGGTGAAGAGATGGAGGCTTTATGTTAAGAGGGAGTGTAGGCTTTTCTTCACGGAACTGGTCGACTACGAAAATGAAGAATTTTCAAGTTCAATCGTTGAAGACGCCCGTGGTAGTATATCGGCGCATGCCATAGATGGGCGCACGAAACATATGCGCGTCGCATCACTGGCTGCCCAGTGTTCGGTACCGTACAACGTCGCTTCGTTCATCTTCAGTACTATTCGCTCATAATTTGGAGTACGCCGACACATATTTGTGCGGGAACAGTCGCACATGGTAACTGGGCGGGCTGACTAGATCAGGAGGTTGGTTGCGCATTCGCGACTTTTGTGTGGTTCGTAGTCCGCTGTTTAGTCCGGACTTTCCGAGCTTCGGATCCAATGGCATCACGCACAAGTGTTCCTTTTGCACGTTCAGTACTCTAGTTCCATTGCGGGTATCCATGGATGCTTCTCATCAGTTCGTGATGTCGTCGCTCAAGTTTGTCATCCTGCTACTCAGTCATAGGATAACGTCTGACACTGTTCCTTAATCGTTGCTCCTCTTTTCATTCCGCGATGCTATTACAGATCGGACAGACTCGCGGAGCCATATTGTTGACCTCCAGATGGCTTATGCGACCATCTTATGATCATGCTCCAACTAGCAACCTGGTGAACCGTCCCCATCAACCCCATCCGCGCCGGTTATGTCCTGCTCACCCGAGAACGTCATATCCTCAACCGCCTCCTCAAAGCTTTCCAACTCCACAAGCTTGGACTCGGAAGCCGTGATCTTCAGCTCCATTTCCTGCTTCAGCACCTCGACCGTCGCACTAAAGCCAGCAAGTGCCTCGAGTAGCGCCCATGCAGTTGCTAGTGTATCGAGATGGTCCTTCGTCGCTGAAATTGCTTCATCGATGGCAGCGTAGAGGAGGTCGCGCGTCGTGAGCGTCGTGGGGTTGATGAGAGGCGCGTGCGCGGCGAGAACAGTGACTATGGATGCGAGATCGGATACCGTACTTCCCGTGCTTGAAGATGCGGAAGGAGAATCGGCGGCTGGAGAACTAGATCCCTCTTCGGTGATCTCGGGAAGGATGTGTACGGTATGTGGCTCGGGTGTTCGTGGCGGCGACGGATCTTGCGATAGCGGCTTGGGCTCGTTTGCGGGTGACTTTGCGATGAGAGGCGATCTTTCATTCTCGTCGACTTTGGATGGGACTGCGTCGCGCTTGAGTTTGGAATTCGGACCGTGCCTGAAGATGTGTCGCAAAAGATTTCCTCGCGTCATCGTGGCGGTTGTGGTTGAACTGGCGAAGTCGACGGGGGTCAGGTCGCCGCGGCTATACCGACGGGAGCGAGATATGACTCCCAGCGTAAGGTGTCGGCGTAGGAACGGGAGATTGGTTGGGTGACGGCGTTGCCGCAGTCGCAGTAAATACCTGCTCACCTACGATATAGTCGCGCTAGCCAAGGCCACATCGACAAACGCACGATTTTATATGTACTCCCAGAACACCACGGTTCTTCTCTTCTTCTCGTAGATCTCCATCAGTTATTCCAAAATCTTCTGATGGCCTTCAACAACACCTACGACAGTGCCCGTGACCCTCGACTCAGTCGGCAGCCTAGCAATGTCGACATGCCTGATGTAGTGTCTGCTGTCCCAACACCAAATCGCCAGGCCGTTTCAAAGCCGCCTACAGAGCTGTGAGTACCCTGAAATGATCTTCCAAAGAGCTCTTGCTAAATTCATCACAGTGCGGCGCCGCCTTCGATCGATGGCAGTCTGGCACCCATGAGGCGGGTTTCCGAGCTTCTTGTACGCATCGCGGACCAGGAAGCTGACAACGCAAGGCTTCAACAAGAGAAGACGGCTGCCAAAAAGATGTCCAGCGACTATCACATCCGTCTCACGCAGGCAACCAAGTCCCTGGGCGACCTGACAGCCTCGTATTCGAAGCGCCTGGAAGAGAAGGACGCCTTGCTCAACGAGAACGTCGCAATCGAACAGCGCGACACTTTGATGAGGAAAGATACCGCTAAGTCCGCCCGCGAGATTAGCGATATGACGAGCAAGATACAAGAGATGGAGGCCCAGATCCAAGCATACGAGGTCGAGAACAAGGATTTACAAGATCGCGTCACTACGTTGGAGACAGAAGCGCATAGCCTACAGTGTCACGTTCAAGACCTAGAGTTTGAGAGAGAGCAGGGTCGGGCTTCGGAGAGTATCGATGGATATGGAGCAAACGGTAGGAGGGACTCCACGCAACGCCCCATATCGAACGTTGACGCCACTCCTCCGCGCCAAGGTTCAGATCGAGACCGAGAATCGAGGTACAGCGAGGCGGTATACACTGAGCATCGGAGGACGTCGGGTGGATTCTACGAGCGCGGTGGCCATCAACGAGGAGCTCGCCGGGAGCGCGATCGTGGCCGAAACGTACGGAACAGGTCATCTACCAACGATCGCTTCGTCCCCGACCTGTACCCTCCCACCGGACCTCGCGCCGACAGGCGCTGATGCAGAGAGCAGGGAGAAATGTGAAGGATCGCGATGAAGATGGCGACAAGCGTCACAGCATGGCGCCGTTCGTAAGACTGAGAAGATTGAAGGAGGAAAGTCCGTACGGCAAGCCTGCTCTACATGGCGGGAAACGAACCTGTGGGCATTGTCAGATGTACGCAGCGGATTCTGACTGGGTGGGTCCCAATATTTGGCATTCTTTGCCGTACATACAATACCTGGTGATAGCAGACGCCTTAGCATGATGACAGCTAATGCCGGTTGCTTGAGTCATGTTCATCATCCCCAGTCTGATCCATCGCTAGTGAAACATGCGTAGACACTCATCAGTTTGCATACTGGAGATAGTATTGTTACCGTCGCGGTACACAGACCCATAGTATGTGTTGAAAAAACGACGAGGCTGGTCCGAAGTCACAGTGAAGTTCGAACGTCAGGGTTCTCGTCACCGACAAGGAGAGTCTCCGCGGACGACCATATATGTGAAGAGACTAGTGGAAAGCAGGGTACGCGGAATCTTAATATCATGCCGTGATAAATGTGGAGAGGTGACTTGAAGGGAATCTCGCGTAACAGAAACCGACAAGGGAGCAAGAGCATCGGACATACAGGCCGCCTCACGTGACGTGCCCGGGACTCGTGAACGGGCCGCTAGTTCATCTCAGTCAATGACCCCGAATATGAGGTTCGCTAAATCGGAGAGGATCTGGAGGATTGCGCAAGACATGTGTCTGACTGGTTGATCGGGTCTGGACAGGAAGATAGGCGAAGCCACGATGCGACTGCGCCGCATGCCGGTACGCGAGCCAACCACTCATGTAGAGCCAGGCGTTGCTCGCTGCCCGTTTACCCAATGGTGGTGCTTTGATCAATAATCGCGCAACGGGCGACGTTTCTTACTGCGTTGGTGGCAGCGGAGTAGTCGACAGAACCCATGTTCGTACTGCAACGCGATAAAAGGGCCGTTTCCGCGTCAGAAGGCGTCGTCGGAGCATCATCCGTCTTTCTCCATTCGTGCGTACCATCTTAAGAACCATGGCAGAACCAATGAACAAACGCGTCGTTGTGGTAAGTCGCCTTATATGCGATGGCTAATATATGGCTGATCATTCCAATAGGTTGGTGGCTCGATAGCTGGGCTCATGCATGCTGTGGCGCTCAAGTCTCATGGCCACAGCGTTGTGGTTCTTGAGATGCGAACTGAACAGCAGCTACAAGCCCGAGCTGCAGGCTTGAGTCTATGGTCAAACGCACAGAAAGTGTTCACAACATACCTACCTGATGTTGAGCTCGACGATATCGTTTTCCGCAACCCCGCATTTCCAATCCTTGACAAGGATGGTAAGGTCTTGGTAGAAGTACCGTTCACGGAAGACGTGCGCACCTCGTGCTGGGCTGGTCTTCACGGTCTGCTGTGGATGGCCTGCGAGAAAGACGTCGAGGGACATGGGCCTGTCAACATGCGCTGTGGATACCAGGTATGCGGGCTGACTGAGCAAGCTGACCACCTCGTGGTGTCATACAAAGGCGAAGATGGCATCCAGGAACAGATGACGGCTGACATGGTCGTGGCGGCCGACGGCGCACGTTCCCGTCTTCGAAGCCTTGTCCTTCCTGACGTGAAGACCGACTACGTTGGCTATGTGGCGTGGAGATCACAATTCCCAGAAAAGGATGCGCCTGAGGAGCTACGTTGTGCCATAGAGGGGAAGATGCCTCTTTGCATGCTGGACGGGAGCTACATAGTGGTGTAAGTTAGGTATAACGTTGCCGACCATTGACTGACATATGGTAGCTATCTGTCGCCTAGCACGATCGGAGACATGCGTCCTGGGAACCGTGTCATCGAATGGTGCTGGTATGATGCTTGCGACGCTTCGACACCAGTGTTCGCGGATTACATGACCGACGTCAATGGTGTCCGCCATAACGTCACCGTACCCGGGAACCTATTGCGTCCAGATGTTTGGGAGGCTCAGCTTACGCGAAGGGACAACGTGTTGTCTCCAATGTGGAGGAAGATCTTCCACGAGTCGAACCCGCCGCTTCTCACAGCCGTTCGCTGTATGTGCCGTCCATGTAGATACTCGGTTGATGATTTGTGCTGACTTACGCAACCATCTAGCGTTTGACAATACAAAAGCTTCGTTCTTCGGAGGCAAGTTATTGTTGGCAGGCGAGGCATTCATTCAGCTTCGCCCACACCTTGGCGCGAGCTGCGATATCGCAGGGTTGTCGGCGATTACATTGCCGCAAGTGCTGGGAGGGGAGATGAGCCTCGAAGAATGGGAAAAGAAAGTGGGTAAGCACGCCATGGAGAAAGCAGTCGGAAGCAGGGCCACTGGAATTTTTGGTATGACGGGACAATGGCCAGAAGGCTATACAGCAGAGTCTGCGGCAAAATTCTCCGAAGAGGTGATGGTGTAAAGGAGTGAAGCTTACCGTGTGAAGGGAAGGAGACAAGGGGGTGATGACGTAGGAGATGCTCAGCAGTTGGCCCCAGCGCTGGCGAACGGCCTAATCGAATTTTGTCGGATGCCTCCTGCTCACTTGCGCAACATGTCTTTTCCATGACAATCGCTCATCGCAGCAGAGAACAGGTGCTCATCATCTCAGCGGCAGAGGGCCATTTAGAGATCAACATGGTCCTGCTATCGTCGGCTTTCATCTTGCCGCGAGCGGACGGTCGGCCGAACGTTGACGCGAACCCCGCGCAACGCCTGAGCCTGGCACCTCTTCAGCGCAGCATGCATCCAAATATCCAACTTTTCGGATTCCGCGGACACGCTCAACGTGTTCTTGCCCAGTCGGGGACCTAATAGTGTGTTTATAAAAGGTCCGAATGCTTGGCTTGCCGACGCTGGACCGGCTATACTCGAGTTGCCAAGTCTACATCGAGCGAACAGACATGAGGGACATCTTCGCGTACTACCCGATGTACGAAACGATGTCGAGGATGATGTACAAAATGATGAATCATATAAGTGTAGCTGAGTGTCTTCATCTATCACGCTACTACAACTCAAGATCATGTCCGCAAGTATTTTCGCTCAACTCAAGGAGGCTTGGGACCTGTCTTTCTTGGAGACGAGCTCCTACTCCGTGCTTGCGGCCAGCGTATTTCTGTTTGCTCTCGCTCTGGGCTTCCTACGCGCAGTCTACCTACTCCACTTTCATCCACTAGCATCCTTTCCGGGTCCATACCAGGCGGCACTATCCAATTGGTGGCAATACAAGCTAAGCAAGACTGGCCAGCAAGAAGAGACACTTGAGCAATTGCACAAAGCATATGGTAAGTCTCACGACGAATCACACGCCCAGGCACTGACAATATCAACATGCACACGAACACTCAGGATCGGTCCAAATGAGCTTCACATTACTGATCCCGTGCTCTACCGTACAATTTACTCACAAAACTACGCCTTCCCCAAACAAAAGTACTTCTATGATGCTTTCGCCGCACATCACTCTGTGTTCGTCGAGGGCGACAAAGAGCTGCACCGTGTACGACGCAAGCTTCTCAGCAACTTCTTCTCGAAGACGCACATAAGGTCGATGGAGAAGACCTTGCTTTCCAAAGCCACCCTGTTATGTGATAGGATATCGGAGACTAAAGAGAACGGCGCGATTAACTTTTACTATGCTTTCAGGTAGCGCTCCCCAATCCTACCGTATGCAACATGGACGCTAAAATCATCACAGGTGCCTGACGGTCGATCTCATTACGCAAATGGCTTTCGGAGAGTCATTCGAATTGCTTACTAAATCTGACGACAATACTTTCGACGCTCCCTTCCACAGGTGCTTCGATCAAGCCGCCGAGTCACTGTGGACCATGCTATACTTCCCTCCTCTCCGGACTATCGCCTTCAAATGCCCACCCAGTATAGCCGCCAAACTCAGTACATCAGCCGCAAAATTCCAGGCTCTCATCACCGCCACCGCGGATACCGTAGCCAATTTCCGACGCCTCAAGACTTCCGGAAAGTCCTTCGACCATGAACTCGTGTTCGATTCTTTGGCACACCTGGACGATGACCTTGTCTTAGCCGAAGCCATCAGTACTTTGGTCGCAGGCTCCGACACCACGGCCTTCACACTCGCTACTGCTGTCCAACAGATGAGCGAGGATCCTTCAATCTTCGCAAAGCTAAGGAAAGAATTGCGCGACAGCGGTATTACGGCGAACCAAGATATCAGCCTCTTGAAACTAGAGCAGCTTCCATATCTGGTATGCAACCCAATTTGATCGCGATACGAAGCTAACGTTATCAGACTGCCTGCGTCAAAGAGTCGTTGCGCTACGCTATGCCCGTGCCAGGTCGACTCCCGCGTGTCGTACCTTATGCAGCAACGCCTCTCGTCGTCGACCAGAAGATCATTCCAGCTGGAACCACCGTCGGCATGTCTGCGTACAGCATTCACTTTGACGAAAGCATATGGGGCGAAGACGCCAGAAGCTTTGTCCCCGCTCGTTGGCTGACTGGAGACGCAAAAGAGCTGGAGAGATATCTCGTAGCCTTCTCCAAGGGTGCAAGGCAATGTCTTGGGATCAATCTTGCATATGCAGAGATCACCCTCACGCTCGCCATGCTGGTCAACAGGTTTCGCTTCGAACCTGACGAGACGATGACGGAATCCGACACCCGACGTCTGGACCACTTTACGTATGAGTTTGAAGGCACTGGCGTTCGTGCTATTGTTCATGAGGACTAGAGTTCACTCTTTGAAACTTGAGCATTGGATTGGGGCTGTGAAGAAGGCTTTACACGTTGAGTCTTACACACGCCTTCCTTGCCTCTGCTCGTTATGAGGATAGAGCGTGGAGAAGAAGTGCTGGAATGTGGACTGGCAGGACAGTTTCATAATTTGGGGCGCAACGTCTTGATTAGCATGAAAACGCGCATGTGCGACGGCGAATTGTTTGAAGAAATTAGCATTTGGGCATGCGTGGTATGGATAGTAGTATATTAAATTAAGAGATATAGCCCATGCACACGTGAAAATGGGTGCGAGCTCATGGCGGGTATCGTGAAGTCAAGACATTGTTGTGTCCGTCGGCAGTGGGGCCGTCAAACATTCGCGTAGCTGGTTGAACTTCAGGGAAGTAGTCTTTGGTTACCGGGTAGTCAAGTATGCGTTGACAGGTTGGAGTATCGTATCCTTAACATGTTTGGTGACTTCGAGGTTGATCTTAGTGCGAGAGGTGCGCTCAACATCTAGTATCAAGTCAGAGTGCGATCCCAATCATTGGCGTATCTGTTCAGACATACCCTGTACTTCGCGCTGGACTTCATAGTATTTGCGTCTCAGAACATGTCTGATAAGTAGTATCGATGGAGGGCACGTTGTCACGAGCGTGACGATTGCAATGATGGACTCATTGGATAGAGGTGACATGGTGTCTGAGAAAAGTAGCAATAAGCAATGGCATTCGCTAACTTGAGGAGGAAAGTATATAGATTTTGATGCTATTGAAAACACACCCTTGATTTATAACAGCTCATGATGAACAGTTCGAGCACTTAAGTGTAGTAGTGTCGCCTAGCAAGTAGCTCACCAATCGTGCAAGAAAAGAAGCTCGCGCAAGGCTAGGTAACCGATTAGGAAATTGCTGGTCCTGAAATGTGGCACCGGTGAGCATGTAGCCAATGAAGTGGAGAACCGTAGCTCAGCCTTGTCCAGCCTTGTCCGACCGACTTCCCCTTCCATCGAACCCCTCAGTACTGCCACAGCATATGACGATTCGATAGGTGATCACTGAAGTAGAGAACCGTGGCTCAGCCTCGTAGATTTCTCCTCCAATTCTTCTTCTGAGATCCGCAAGAGCGATAGCGCAGAAAGGATCAATGCTACGCCGTATGACAATTCGAGGTGCTCCCAGAAACACGTTTTGGAAAGATCACTTATAATCTGTGCTATTGTCTTGCGATCAAGGAAAGCCTACGACTGTGGGTTACTCTCTCGGGTAGTATTGCGTTCTGTTCACGGACATCAGATCGACAAAACCATAAATAGCAAGGTCACTTACCAAGTCAGACTTCTTTGTATTGCCCCAACAGAGGGCGGCGAATGACGCCTAGGTACATGAGCAAGATCAGGTCGAGGTACAAGGAGGTCGACCCGGTACTCGACGAGATCAGCGATGCTTAGCCGAGCTGGGCTATTGGCGAGCTCGGCATCTAGAGTGGTTCAGCCGGGATTATATACTGCAGGGCTACAGTCAGATGTACATACCAATCCGACAGACTCCATTGTTAGGACAAGATCGTTTGATCCAATGGTATAGCAGTGCAACCGAAGGGGGACATGTTGTGATGAGGGTAACGATAGCGATTATGTCCCCGTTGGACAGGGACGACATGTTCTTTTATGCGTGCGATGATGTGGAGAATGGGATACAAGTTGTAGTAGGAAGACTTGAATAAACGCGATTAATGCACGAGATCGATGCCTTTGTATAGTCTGCTTGAGATACGTCCTGCCGGTTGGAGAAACCCACAGAAGATGGCGGGCTGGCATATTATAAACGTGTGCTGAGCAGTCTAAGGCGTGTATAAGCTCCCGACCCATCTGGCGTGAAGTATTGGGATGCGTGCTGAGCTCCGTAGTCGTTTACGTTCTTGCGAAGCGAGAAATGATCTCAACCTTGAAAGCTAGCAAGATGCGAGCCTATGAGGAACCGGCGGCCTCCCAGCCGTTCCCTACTCTCCATTCGAACCTACGTTTCAGAAGCAGCGGGTTTAGCCCG